GGGTCTGGGGGATTTGGGGGTCTGAGGGGGGTCTGGGTGGTCTTGGTGGGGTCCTGGGGGGGATTTGGCGGGGTCTGAGGGGGGTCTGGGTGTTTTGGGGACCCCTTTAACCCTTTCTGTGCCCCCCAGAGTTTGGGGTGGAGGACGAGGAGGGAATTTGGGGGGGTTTGAAGTTTTGGGGACCCCTTTAACCCCTCTTTGCCCCCCAGAGTTCATGGTAGAGGAGGAGGAGGAGGAGGGGGTTGAGGAGGGGATTTTGGGGGGTCTGGTTGTTTTGGGGACCCCTTTAACCCCCTCTGTGCCCCCCCAGAGTTCGTGGTGGAGGAAGAGGAGGATGAGGGGGATTGAGGAGGGGATTTTGGGGGTCTGGGTGCTTTGGGGACCCCTTTAACCCCCTCTTGCCCCCCAGAGTTCGTGGTGGAGGAGGAGGAGGGGATTTTGGGGGTCTGGGTGTTTTGGGGACCCCTTTAACCCCTCTTTACCCCCCCAGAGTTCGTGGTGGAGGAGGAGGAGGGGGTTTGGGGTGGTTTGAAGGTTTGGGGACCCCTTTAACCCTTTCTGTGCCCCCCAGAGTTCGTGGTGGAGGAAGAGGAGGGCATTTTCTCCCCGGGGCACTTCGTGGAGCGCCTGACGGTGCCCGGGGGTCGCCCCTGGGCCCCCCTGAGCCTCTCCCCGTACGGGCGGTACCGGTTCCGGGTGCTGGCCGTGAACGCCTACGGGAGGGGGGAGCCCAGCGCTCCCAGTGCCCCCATCAGCACCCCCCCGGCCGGTGAGTCACCCCAAAAACAGCCCCAAATATCTCCCAAAACATCCCCAAATATCTCCCAAATATCCCCAAAATATCCCCCAAAATACCCATCCACAGCTCACCCCCCCGGCCGGTGAGTCACCCCAAAACCAGCCCAAAATATCCCCAAAGTATTCTCCAAATATCCCCTAAAATACCCTACAAATATCCCCAAAATATCCCCCAAAATACCTATCAATAACCCCCCCCGGCGGGTGAGTCACCCCAAAAACAGCCCAAAATATCCCCAAAATATTCCCAAAATATCTCCCAAATATCCCCAAAATATCCCCTAAAATATCCCCCAAAATACCCATCCACAGCTCACCCCCCCGGCGGGTGAGTCACCCCAAAAACAGCCCAAAATATCCCCCAAAATATCCCCTAAATATCCCCAAAATATCCCCCAAAATACCCCCCATTGACATCACAAAGTACCCATCAATAACCCCCCCGGCCAGTGAGTCACCCCAAAAACTGCCCAAAATATCCCCAAAGTATCCTCCAAATATCCCCGAAAATACCCCCAAAATATCCCCCAAATATCCCCCAAAATATCCCCCAAAATACCCATCCACAGCTCACCCCCCTGGCCAGTGAGTCACCCCAAAAACAGCCCAAAATATCCCCCAAATATCCCCTAAAATACCCTACAAATATCCCCCAAATATCCCCCAAGTATCCCTAAAATGTCCTCCAAATATCCCCAAAATATCCCCCATTGACACTTGAAAACACCCATCAATAACCCCCCCCGACTGGTGAGTCACCCCAAAACCAGCCCCAAATATCCCCAAAATATCCCCTAAAATATCCTCCAAATATCCCCAAATATCCCCCAAAATACCCATCCACAGCTCACCCCCCCCGACTGGTGAGTCACCCCAAAACCAGCCCCAAATATCCCCAAAATATCCCCTAAAATATCCTCCAAATATCCCCAAAATATCCCCCAAAATACCCATCCACAGCTCACCCCCTCGGCCAGTGAGTCACCCCAAAACCAGCCCAAAATATCACCCAAAGTATCCTCCAAATATCCCCTAAATATCCCCAAAATATCCCCCAAAATACCCCCCACTGACATCACAAAGTACCCATCAATAACCCCCCCCCGGCGGGTGAGTCACCCCAAAAACAGCCCAAAATATCCCCAAAGTATTCTCCAAATATCCCCTAAAATATCCTCCAAATATCCCCAAAATATCCCCCAAATATCCCCCAAATATCCCCCAAAATACCCATCCACAGCTCACCCCACTGGCCGGTGAGTCACCCCAAAAATATCCCCATTTACACCCCATTCACACCCCAAAAGACCCCCAATTCACACCCCAAAAATAACTCCATTCACACCCCATTAACACCCCAAAATAACCCCATGCAAACCTCAAAATACCCCCATTAAAACCCCATTCACACCCCAAAATACCCCCATTAACACCCCAAAATATTCCCCATTAACACCCCATTCACACCCCAAAACACCCCCATTCACACCCCAAAATACCCCTATTAACACCCCAAAATACCCCTATTAACACCCCAAAATATTCCCCATTAACACCCCAAAATATTCCCCATTAACACCCCAAAATATCCCCATTAACACCCCAAAATATCTCCCATTAACACCCCAAAATAACCCCATTCACACCCCAAAATACCCCCTTTAACACCCCAAAATACCCCCCATCAACACCCCAAAATATCCCCCATTAACACCCCAAAATACCCCCATTGACACCCCAAAATATCCCCCATTAACACCCCAAAATGCCCTCATTCACACCCCAAAATATCCCCCATTAATACCCCATTCACACCCAAAATGCCCTCATTCACACCCCAAAATATTCCCCATTAATACCCCATTCACACCCAAAACACCCCCATTCACACCCCAAAAATAACCCCATTAACACCCCATTAACACCCCAAAATAACCCCATGCAAACCTCAAAATACCCCCCTTAAAACCCCATTCACACCCCAAAACACCCCCATTAACACCCCAAAATATCCCCCATTAACACCCCATTAACACCTCAAAATACCCCCCATTAAAACCCCTAAACACCCCCATTAACACCCCATTAACACCTCAAAATACCCCCATTCACACCCCAAAATACCCCCATCAACACCCCAAAATTCCCCATTAACACCCCATTAACACCCTAAAAATAACCCCATTCACACCCCAAAATATCCCCCATTAATACCCCAAAAATAACCCCCATTCACATCCCAAAATACCCCCATCAACACCCCAAAATATCCCGCATTAACACCCCATTCACACCCCAAAAATACCCCCATTCACAACTCAAAATACCCTCATTAACACCCCAAAACAACCCCCATTAACACCCTAAAATACCCCCATTGACACCCCAAAATACCCCCCATTCACACCCCATTCACACCCCGAAACACCCCCATTCACACCCCAAAATACCCCTATTAACACCCCAAAATATTCCCCATTCACACCCCAAAACACCCCCATTAACACCCCAAAATAACCCCAATTAAAACCCCATTCACACCACAAAATATCCCCATTAACACCCCAAAATTCCCCCCCCAAACACCCACCCCCCTCAACCCCCCCATGAGGATTTGGGGTCATCTGTGGGAATTGGGGGGGGGGGCATCTCTGCAGGAATTTGGGGTTTCTGAGGATTTGGGGGGGGTCTCTGTGGGAATTTGGGGTCTCTGAGGATTTGGGGGGGGTCTCTGTGGGAATTTGGGGTCTCTGAGGATTTGGGGGTCTCTGTGGGAATTTGGGGGATCTCTACAGGAATTTGGGGTCTCTGAAGATTTGGGGGTCTCCTGAGGATCTGGAGGGGTCTCTGTGGGAATTTGGGGTCTCTGAAGATTTGGGGGTCCCTGAAGATCGGGGGTCTCTATGGGAATTTGGGGGTCTCTGAAAATCGGTGGGGTCTCTGTGGGAATTTGGGGTCTCTGGAGGATTTTGGGGGTCTCTGTAGGAATTTGGGGGTCTCTGGGGAATTTGGGGATCTCCGTGGGAATTTGGGGTCTCTGAAGATTTGGGGGTCTCTGTGGGAATTTGGGGGTCTCTGAGGATTTGGGGGATCTCTGTGGAATTTGGGGGTCTCTGTGACAATTTGGGGGTCTCTGAAGATTTGGGGGTCCTGAAGATTTGGGGGTCCCTGAAGATTTGGGGGTCTCTGTGGAATTTTGGAAGGGTCTCTGAAGATTTGGGGAAGATCTCTGTAGGAATTTGGGGTCTCTGAGGATTTGGGGTCTCTGAAGATCGGGGGGTCTCTACAGGAATTTGGGGTCTCTGAGGACTTGGGGGGTCTCTGAAGATCTGGGGGTCTCTGTGGGAATTCTGGGGTCTCTGAGGATTTGGGGGAATCTCTGTGGGAATTTGGGGGTCTCTGAAGATTTGGGGGTCCCTGAAGATTTGGGGGTCTCTGTGGGAATTCGGGGGTCTCTCTGGAATTTGGGGTCTCTGAAGATCTGGGGGTCTCTCTGGGAATTTGGGGGTCTCTGTGGGAATTTGGGGTCTCTGAAGATTTGGGGGGGTCCCTGAAGATTTGGGGGTCTCTGTGGGAATTTGGGGTCTTGAGGATTTGGGGGTCTCTGTGGGAATTTGGGGGATCTCTGCAGGAATTTGGGGTTTCTGAGGATTTGAGAGGGTCCCTGAAGATTGGGGGTCTCTGAAGATTTGGGGGTCTCTGTGGGAATTTGAGGGATCTCTGTGGAATTTGGGGGTCTCTGAGGATTTGGGGGTCTCTGTGGGAATTCTGGGGTCTCTGAAGATTTTGGGGGTCCCTGAAGATTTGGGGAATCTCTGTGGGAATTTGGGGGTCTCTGTGGGAATTTGGAGGTCTCTGAAGATTTGGGGGGTCCCTGAAGATCGGGGGGGTCTCTGCAGGAATTTGGGGTTTCTGATGATTTGGGGGTCTCTGTGACAATTTTGGGGTCTCTGAAGATTTGGGGGTCCCTGAAGATTTGGGGGTCTCTGTGGGAATTTGGGGTCTCTGAAAATTTGGGGGTCTCTGTAGGAATTTGGGGGTCTCTGAGCTTCTTTCTCCTCCCCTAAAAACAGCCCCTGAGCGCAACCCGGGGGTGAAGGACGAGGGAACGAGACCAACAACATGATCATCACCTGGCAGGTACGGGGGTTTGGGGGCTTAGGTCATTTGGGGGTTGGGGTCATTTTGGGGGCTTTAGGTCAATTTGGGGGTTTAGGGTCAATTTGGGGCCTCTGGGGATATTTGAGGTCAATTTGGGGAGTTAGAATCAATTTGGGGGTTTAGGGTCAATTTGGGGGGCTCTGGGGATATTTAGGGTCAATTTGGGGGAGTTTAGGTCAATTTGGGGAGCTCTGGGGGTTAAATAATTTAGGGGGCTCTGGGGGTTTGGGGTCAACTTGGGGGCTCTGGGGGATTTAGGGTCAACTTGGGGGCTCTGGGGAGATTTGGGGTGAGGTTGGGGGATTTGGTGGATCTGGAGGGGGTTTGGGATCAATTTGGGGGGCTCTGAGGGGATTTGGGGTCAATTTGGGGAGTTTAGGGTCAATTTGGGGGCTCTGGAGGGTTTGGTGTCAATTTGGGGGCTCTGGAGAGATTTGAGTCAATTTGGGGGATCTGGGGGTTGGGGGTTGGGGTTGGTTTGGGGAGCTCTGAGAGGTTTGGGGTCAATTTGGGGAATTTGGGGTCAATTTGGGGGCTCTGGAGGGGTTTGGGGTCAATTTGGGGGTTAGATCAATTTGGGGTTTAGGTCAATTTGGGGGCTCTGGGGATTTGGGGGTCAATTCGGGGGGCTCTGGGGGGATTTGGGGTCAATTTGGGGGGGATCTGCGGGGGATTTGGGGGCTCTGGAGGGCTTTGGGGTCAATTTGGGGGGCTCTGGCAGGATTTAGGGTCACAGGGTTGTATTTGGGGTGTTTTTGGGGTGTATTTGGGGTATTTTTGGGGTGTTTTTTGGGTGTTTTTGGGGTGTTTTTTGGGTGTTTTTGGGGTATTTTGAGGGTATTTTTGGGTATTTTTGGGGTGTTTTTGGGGTCTCACACCTCTCTCCCCCCCAACCTCTCCCCCCGGGGGACTGGAACGCCCCCCAGCTCCGGTACCGGGTGCAGTGGCGGGGGGTGATTTGGGGCTGTATTTGGGGTATTTTTGGGCTGTATTTGGGGTATTTTTGGGTATTTTTGGAGTGGTTTTGGGGTCTCAGGGCTCTGTTTCCCCCCCAGCCTCTCCCCCCGGGGACTGGAACGCCCCCCAGCTCCGGTACCGGGTGCAGTGGCGGGGGGTGATTTGGGGCCGTATTTGGGGTATTTTTGGGTGTTTTTGGGGTCTGATGGCTCTGTCCCCCCCAGCCTCTCCCCCCCGGGGACTGGAACGCCCCCCAGCTCCGGTACCGGGTGCAGTGGCGGGGGATGATTTGGGGTGTATTTAGGGCTGTATTTGGGGTATTTTTGGGGTGTTTTTGGGGTCTCAGGGCTCTGTCCCCCCCCAGCCTCTCCCCCCGGGGGACTGGAACGCCCCCCAGCTCCGGTACCGGGTGCAGTGGCGGGGGATGATTTGGGGTGTATTTGGGGTATTTTTGGGTATTTTTTGGGTATTTAGGGTATTTTTGGGATGTTTTTGGGGTCTCAGGGCTCTGTTTCCCCCCCAGCCTCTCCCCCCCGGGGACTGGAACGCCCCCCAGCTCCGGTACCGGGTGCAGTGGCGGGGGGTGATTTGGGGCTGTATTTGGGGTATTTTTGGGGTGTTTTGGGGTATTTTTGGGTATTTTTGGGATGTTTTTGGGGTCTCACACCTCTCTCCCCCCCAGCCTCTCCCCCCCGGGGACTGGAACACCCCCCAGTTCCGGTACCGGGTGCAGTGGCGGGGGATGATTTAGGGCTGTATTTGGGGTATTTTTTGGGGTGTTTTTGGGATGTTTTTGGGGTCTCAGGGCTCTGTTTCCCCCCCAGCCGCTCCCCCCCGGGGACTGGAACGCCCCCAGCCCGGTACCGGTGCAGTGGCGGGGGATGATTTGGGGCTGTATTTGGGGTATTTTTTGGGTATTTTTTGGGTATTTAGGGTATTTTTGGGGTGTTTTTGGGATCTGACAGCTCTGTCCCCCCCAGCCTCTCCCCCCGGGGGACTGGAACGCCCCCCAGCTCCGGTACCGGGTGCAGTGGCGGGGGCGGGGTTTGAGGGTTCGGGGATGGTTTTAGGGCTGGTTTTGGGGTGTTTTTGGGGTCTCACACCTCTCTCCCCCCCAGCCTCTCCCCCCCGGGGACTGGAACGCCCCCCAGCTCCGGTACCGGGTGCAGTGGCGGGGGCAGGGTTTGAGGTTTCGGGGCTGGTTTTGGGGCTGTATTTGGGGTATTTTTGGGATGTTTTTGGGGTCTCACACCTCTCTCCCCCCCAGCCGCTCCCCCCCGGGGACTGGAACGCCCCCCAGCTCCGGTACCGGGTGCAGTGGCGGCCGCTGGAGCCGGCGCTCGGGCGCTGGAGGGAGGACACGGTGGGGGCCCCCCCGGTGGTCGTGGGGGACACCCCGACCTTCAGCCCCTTCGAGATCCGCGTGCAGGCCCTGAACGAGGCCGGGAAGGGCCCCGAGCCCGCCGTGGTCCTCGGGTACTCCGGGGAGGACCGTGAGTGGGGGACCCCAAAAATCACGGGGGAAGGGGGGACCCCAAAAACACGGGGGAATGGGGGGACGACCCTAAATTGGGAAAAGGGACCCCAAAAACATGGGGAACGACCCTAAATTGGGGAAACGAGGAGGGAACCCCAAAGAAACACGAGGGGACGACCCTAAATTGGGGAAAGGTGGGGGACCCCAAAAACCACGGGGGAATGGGGGGGAACGACCCTAAATTGGGGGAAAGGGGAGGGGACCCCAAAAACACAGGGGAAGGGGAGAACGACCCTAAAGTGGGGAAAGGGACCCCAAAAAACACGGGGGGGAACGACCCTAAATTGGGGGAAAGGGGAGGGGGACCCCAAAAAAACACGGGGGAATGGGGAGGAATGACCCTAAATTGGGGAAAAGGGGGAGAGGGAGAATGGGGGAAGGACCCCAAAAAACACAGGGGAAAGGGGGGAACGACCCTAAAGTGGGGAAAGGGACCCCAAAAAACACGGGGGAACGACCCTAAATTGGGGGAAAGGGAGGGGAGAGAGAATGGGGGTGGGACCCCAAAAAAACATGGGGGAACGACCCTAAATTGGGGGAAAGGGGGAGAGAGAAAGGGGGAGGACCCCAAAAAAACACAGGGGAACGACCCTAAATTGGGGGAAAGGGGGGGGAGAGAGAATGGGGAGGGGATCCCAAATTGGGGAGACCCCAAGGAGAGGCGACCCCAAATCTGGGAAAGGGGTGGGGGATCCCAAATCAGGGAGAGAAAAGGGGGGAGGGGGATCCCAAATTGGGGAGGGGGGAGAGACAAGGATGGGGATCCTAAATCTGAGGGAGAAGCGGGGGGGGGATCCCAAATCAGGGAGAGAAAAGAGGGGAGGGAGACCCCAAATTTGGGGGGTCTGGGAGAGACCCCAGGGTGGGGAGGAGACCCCAAATCTGGGGTGCTGAGAGAGAAGGGAGTAGGGGAGACCCCAAA